TCAAAATACAAGCACTACCTAGTATCAAGTAAAGTAGACTTCCAAAAGGTCGCCTCCTCCAAGTCCAAGTGCAAACCCTACAAGCCCCACCTCCCATGATACCTCATTTCAGCTCGGCAAATCTCTTTCCAGATGGGGACCATCTGGTACATGCCACACACAAAAACTAAGCCCTCCACTGAGGTTAGGGAGCAAGCATAGTAGTGCAACAGGATACATATACTTTGTGTGAAGATTTCGAAACAAACAACTCCCACTAGGCGCTGTTGGGCACTGACCCAACCAAAAAGAAGCAAGAACAACCAAAAGTGATTCGCTCAAGAGCAGTATCTCGTTTTGTAATAGGGCGCCGGACGCGGGAGAGGGCCGGTAGGAGTGGGAAGAGATACGATCGATCCATATATAGAGAAAAGTTGGTTAAGCACTACTACCACTTACCCCATTGGCCCGTTTCACTACACAGCTCTCTGCACGGTAAGATTCTCTCCCAAAGTGAGGAAGTGAAAATGCATGAATGCGTGCGTAGTAGACAAGGAGAAAGAGGAACTCGTGCATGCACCTCATGTGGTCAGGTAGTATATATTACCAAATCATCTCTTGGTAAGGTGGCCGAGTGTTCAGGTAGTCTAGTGCTCACTCCCTTTTTACCACGGTTCTTCACCCAATCAGAACTTTGTCATGGCACAGAACTTTGTCGATTCGGCACACGTAGCTACATGTAACTGGACGATCTACACTACTACTCCTAGAATGGAGATGAAAAGAAGAGAAAGGGATTGATTGCATGGGGTGCAAGGATCTGATCGTAAAGCAATGGGAGGGAGGGACAGGGCGCCCATATATCCCGGGACGCATCGCTCTCCATCCAATAACGTTACGTAACATGATGGATAGGGCCGAAAGGAAGCAGCGCCGAATGCGCGAGGGATGCTCCCCCGTATCTCCGATCATGGCGCCTTGCTAGCTAGGAGTATAATCATTCAACTCACACCCCACCCCACCCGTTTTCTATTCTATTTCACTCCATTCCGGATGAAAGTCCATGATATCATCATATCATCGCTCCATACCATACGTGCATGATTCGTCGATCGGCCCATCCGGCCGGGTTACAGGGGTGCCGGGTTGCGATCGCCGCCCATGCCGTCCCAAGTCCCGATCGATCGCCTCTCAGAAGCTTCCAGCCTGACACGTCCAGTGCTCAGCTAGCCACACTTACGTAACGGATCGAACTGAAACCCGTTGCGTCGTGTGATGGACGGGACGGGACGGCAGACAACCCGTTAGACATGCCATGTGCCCCACGGAATACAATATCTGCCCCGAGACCCGGAAAACCGCGTACGCATCCACCCATCCGAACTAGCTAGTAGGATAATCAATCAATCAGTCCAGCTCTCGATTGTTTTGTTTAGGTATGTAGCTAAACAACTGGGAGATACAATACTCCATCAACGTCAAGTTAGTGTGTACCATCGTACAGCCAGGCCGATCGGCGCAGCCAGCCGGCGGCGACGCACATCGGCACATGGCCTGCCGCGCCGTGTAGCCCGTGGACCGAGGGATCCCGGACGGTCGTGCGCCGCCCGCCCCGCCCGCGCCCGCGCCCGGGCCCGCGCTGTCGCCGGCCGACCCGGCACGCTGCGCCCCAGCCACCCCGACACCCCAGACCACACCACACCACACACAGCCCCCGCCGCGTGCTGCGCTCGATCGTTGCACCTACGTGTCCGCGTATGTCATTGTCAGCCCATGCGCTGGCTCTATGCCAACTTACTTACTCGCGATGCCCTTCCTTCGCGTCCCCGCCTATAAAACATGGGCGCCAACCCTACCCTTGCCAAGCCAACGCAAGCAACACACACATCGTCTTCTCTTCTCAGCGAGCCAGAGCTATCAGACCTCGTCATTCACATCGCATCCAAACGTACTTGCAAAGTTCTTCCCTACCGCAAGCACTACGCGGCATCTTCCCACGTCCACTGGAAATGGAAGCTACCGACAGCCTCCTCATGGCCACCGAGCTCAGGCTGGGCCTCCCCGGCACCGACGACAAGCCACACAAGATCACCTCGGTGATGTCGCCGCCGGCGACTCCCAGGGGCAAGAAGCGCACCCTGGACGCCTTCGAGGCCACCGCCTCCGATGAGGCCGACAGGTCCGACGACGTCGAGACCGCAGCCCCCGTGCCCAAGTGAGTACCAGCCCAACCCCTTCAGCTTCCGTGCTCACTACCTTATTCTTCTTCCTCCAACTCCAAGGCCAGAGTTCTTACATGCATGCTTGTCTCAACTCTCGCAGAGCACAAGTTGTCGGGTGGCCGCCGGTGAGGCGCTGCTTCCAGGCGGCGGCGAGCAAGAGCAAGGCGAAGAAAGCGGACGAGGCCAGCAGCAAAAACACGCCGTCTGCGGCGGCGCCGGCGAGCACCAACGGCTCCTTCGTCAAAGTGAGCATGGACGGAGCGCCCTACCTGAGGAAGGTCGACATGAGGATGTACAAGGGCTACAGGGAGCTCAGGGAGGCCCTGGAGGCCATGTTCGTCTGCTTCTCCGGGGCAGACGGCGGCGCTTCCAACGGCGGCGGCGCAAACCCGGCTGAGTACGCCATCACCTACGAGGACAAGGACGGCGACCTCATGCTTGTCGGAGACGTGCCCTTCGAGTAAGTCTTGATCCATTTGATCACTTCTTCATCTTAAAGATCATTTTGTGAAGCAGTGACTTATGATCTTTGTTCTTGCGTTTTTGCAGTATGTTCAGCGGCACATGCAAGAAGTTGAGGATCATCAAGAGATCCGAAGCCACAGGCCTGGGATCCAAATGATGAAGATTTGAGAAGCAAGATGATATCATGGCCTCTCTCTCTTTTTTCTTTTTAAGGTTTATACTTTTTGTTCTTCGATCTGGGTTCGATCACCAAGCCAAAAGGGATGAGCTTGGTGCATCAGAGAGCACACATGGATGTGTGCCCTTTGTTTGGGTCCTTGAAGTAGGCCTTTTTAGAAGCACAAAGGAGATGTGGAGATTTGGGTTAAACTCTCCATGTGTTTGTACAAACGAAACAGTTATATTGATTGTTGATCACTTATCATCATGCATGTTTTGCCGGGGGGCTTTCCTTCCGGTTTCCCCTTGGTTGTGCTTTTGTATTCAAGTTGTCAAGTCACTTTATCATCAACACTATTGTGTTGGTTGTTGTTTGTGAGCACCACTTGTTTATGCATTCTCAATCCGAGTCCAAAGGATGTTTAGGTGCGGTGGGCAGTGATATCTGCGATGATCGAGCATTTCGACAACGTTTCAATCTGTTGTGTACGGTACAACCAAATTGGATGGATCTTCCACTTGTTTAGCTAAGACTGCAAACACAGATGGAACACATGTGATTTGTTTTGTACCACCGCAACATTTTAAGGTCTCTTTAATCGAAGGAATTTCAAACATATTGTGTACGATTTCTATATGCTTAGAGAACTTGATAGATTTGATAGGAAACCTTTTGGATGTTACTTATGAGCCACTTCTCATCCGATACCAAATAGAAATTTCTATTCGAGAGTTCATATGCTATGTAAAAAAATCACCATAGTGCCAATTCCGTTCCGACATGGTTTTCAATCCTGTTAAGATTCAAGGGTTTCTAAGATCACATTCCTGTGTTTTAGAGTCTTGCGAACCGTGGAGGCTCTGTTGAATCTTAGACCTAATGACACTACGAAAGGAAGGACGACTAGTTCCATCCGAATCTTTGGCCCATGTTCCCAGAGACGTTGACTTGAATCGGAATTCGGAACCATGTGCCGCTGATGAGATTAAAATTCGATCGCAGCCTCATTCATGGCCGATTACTCGATCCAAAATACCAAATTGTAGACAGCAGCTCAGTCAAACGAGATTCACAAGACTGGTCAAGCGAGTAACACACACGGCCCATGCAATCCGGCCTGCATTTTGCTGTCAACACATGCGCCGGTCGATCCGTGGGCGGACAGCGCGCATGCGGTGCACATGACCGCTGGATCCAAGCGTCCACACCACCGGCATCCATCATCAATAAATCGAGTGAGGTCTTCCGACACACACAAAAAAAAAAGAGTGAGGTCTTCATCTTCTTCCTTTTTTTGCCGGGGGAAAGAGTATCCCTCTTTATCCCACTTCTCAAGAGAAAATTACATAAACTGACTGCAACCATCTTCATACTAGAAGCACAAAAGAAATCGAAGCCACCCTTTGTGCCTTCAGGGATGGTCTTTATGGCTTTCCCCCCCTACATTTTTACCGGAAGAAGTGAGGTCTTCATCCACATCCCAAGACCAAATTAGCCATCTTTATTAGTATTATTTTGAGTCTAATTAGCCATCTTTATTAAGATTTTTTTTTTTGAAACGGCTTTATAAAGAATTTAAGATACAAGATAAAACGAAGTCTACTACTATACCCCTTGTGCCTTCTGGATGGTGCGATGGCTTGGCTGCTGAAGTAGATGGTGCCTGGAGAAACGGTAGGCACATGTGCCCTTCAGAAAAGAGAGAGGGAGATAATAGCCGTCTGGTCGACACAAATTTCGGTGCAAATCATCGTTGTCTGGCCATCGACGTGTATCCTGCTGGTTCGATGTGCGCCCCTCAACAGTGAGATATATTCCTAGCACAAGTTGCGATATTCGGGGACAGATTCGACAGTGCAGAAACCTCCCACGTATAAACTGCAAACTCTTGCTAGTCATCTGATTAGACGGGACTCGACCGACGGAACGCGTCAACTGATGTGCGGACGACAGAGCTTCTCGTACATGGTCATGTTCACAATTTGTCACTACCACCGACGTGGAACACATGGACTAATAATAAAGCTTCCGGAGCCTACCTATGTACAACAAAAACCGAGACGCGCAGATGACTTGGCGCAACTAACGCACCTTTCTAGTACTACATGATACGATACTGGAGCTGGATACTTGGGGGTCAGAATTCAGAAGCTTCCTCCCTCCTAGAGCAGGGCTTAGTCGCTGGCGTCAGATGTCATGAAGTCGTCGGCGTACATGTAGGAGACTGGTTTCCTCTGTTTGTCCTGCAGGGAACCCATCCTCGAGTCCAAGATCGCCAGCTGGGAGACGACCCAGTTGGGGTTGTTCCTCCCCTCAACCCACAGCGCTTCGCCGGTGCTCTTGTGCTTGAAGTCTGGATACCTTGGGTTCTTCTGCTGACACGTACGTAAAATCATTAGTCATCATTGTATGGATTAGGCGGAGGGGGCATATATTTCTTCAAAGAAAACGTATGATGGCCAAATCATTGGTGCAAACAAATGAATATACATGAATGAAAATGCAACCGACTGCTAAGATGAAGCTTGTGGGGGGCTAGGGACGGAAGATGGCACGAGACTTCACAACCTAACACGGTGTGGCTGAACCTAACATGATGAATCCTTTTTGCAAGTTATTAAGAAGAAAAGTCAAGAGCTATTTGGAGATTCCAATTATAAAATTAGACCAAACTAAAACTAATCGCAGTCCCATGTAATACAATATCTTGTAGCATGGAGAGGGGGAATAACGTAAACCGAATTGATTTAGTGTACCTCCATAAAATTAATAGTTATCGATTTAGTGTGCCTCCATAAAATTATACTATAAAGTTTCAGAAAATCTGTAAAATAGTTACCGATCTAATGTTGTACCTCCATAAAATTAATCTCAAATTCTGCAAATGTTTGGCAAGATGGACAAGAAAAAATACTAGAGAACTGTTCGCCCAAAGAATTTCATGAAAACTACTCCCTCCGTCCCATAATATAAGAGCGTAAAACGCTCTTATATTATGGAATGGAGGGAGTAATAAATTATGAACTACATGTAAAGAGGGAGAAAACAATAAAAGTGACTATCCACACGAAATTCCTATTCCCTCCGTTCTGAATTATAAGATGTTCTAACTTTTTTTCTGATTCGGATATACATAGACACATTTTAGTGCATTCACTCATTTCTCAGTCCGTATGTAGTCGACGTTGAAATATCCAAAACATCTTATAAAAGTGAACAGAGGGAGTACTTTGTTACTCCTAATGCTAATAGAGGAGAGAGAATACAGGGAGGGGATCCAACTGAGTGGAGATGAGAAAAGGAGGAAGATAACCCATCACATCAGTTTTTATCTCGTCGGTGATCATAATCTTTCTCCTCTCAGTCCAATAGCTCGCTTGGCTAACTCAATGCTAGAGTATACAACCAGATCTCATCCTTTCCCTCTCATGTCCAGCGATCATGAACAGAGATATTGACGTGGCACCAACCACAGCAGTGCACCAACAGCAATAGCTTCAGCGATGAAGAGGTTCAACAACAGTGTCAAAACCAATAGCAATGACGGAAAGCAATGCTGGCACCTCGCAGTCCTCCCTTGTGGTCCATGCCCCCCTGATTTACGGGTCTTGTTCCCAGCAAATTATATTGCTGTCGAACCCTAAAGCACATATCACATTTGACCAGACATTTGGAAACTATGGTGTACTATACATATCATGGCGACCAAGGTTTTTAAGGCGGCCATAAGGTGATCAACCCCTGCCTTACCGCCTAAGCTCCTAAGGTGGAAGAAATGTTTTGGCGCTGCCAGGGCACCTTACAGCCTAAGCGGCATCAAAGTGTCGCCTTATGGACACCTTAAAAACATGGATGGTGTTTTACTTTCATTTGTTACTGGTCTTTTCTAGAAATTCAAGATGAATGATTTTGACAATTCTCTGTGAGCATATAACACTGAACCATAGTTTTTAAGGCGGTAAAGCAAGGCGAGGGCGAGGCCCCTAAGCCCTGCCACCTTAGCTTTTAAAATTTAAGGTGAGGAGGTAAGGCGTGGCAAGGCGACGCCTTAGCCATTACAGGAACAGAACAGTGGGCAGTTTAGCACATATATTACAACGGGAAATGGAAAAGAGTGAAAAATGGCCCACTGGTTATGCACTTCCCCATGGCCCAAAAGCCCAAGTAGTAGCCATATACTCCTCCCATGGCCTAATTCCACTGCCCCTCTGTTCTCCCTCAGCACAACCACCACACATCTTCTGCTCCCTTTTCCTCCTGATACAAGCACATAACCCTCACACTCATCCCTTCTCCTCACAACCCCACCAGACCCTACTCCCTCACTGCAACCTCTATTCATCCTCACAACGACAGCAGAGTATATAGGGGAGGGGAAGGCGAATGTGGAAGCACACACGCGACAGGATGCTTGCGGGAGTGCAGGAGGTGGAGGGGTCGTCATCTCCAAGCCCCAGGGGCAGCCACAGCGAGGAACATGAAGTGGGAGAGACCCCTGGAGGCGGCAGACACTTCAATAAGGCAGCCATACGCTAGATGTCTAAGGCACAGGTGACACCTTGCCACCCTAGGGCTCCTCAGCACTGAAGCAACACTTAGGCAATGCCTTGCAATCACGACTGACACAAGTGATAAGTCATAACCCACTGAGCAACTCAAGCAGCAATATTGCCACAGTACTTATGTTGATTAAGCCGGCACAGAATATATAAGGTGTGCAGAACACTGAGGAAGGGCCCAGGCACTCTTCTAAAATTTCGGAAGCCATGCCCAATCTTCCTGTCCAAAGGGAAAAATGGAAAATACAAGCCCTGAGTCTTGAACCAAAGAAGAAAAAATATTAAAGAGAGTTCTTATTTTATTTCATGTTTCTCGGCTACATTCGGCATCTTACCATTTTTATTTTCCATGTTGGCTACTCTCCAAGACTCCTCTCTGTCTCTCAACTAAGTGATTCTAAAAATGCAGGAATAGGGTAGGAATGCATGCGTAAAACAGAGGACTGGTAAACCCATTCCTATGATCCCAAGGGGCCTTAACAGTGTGCCCATGTTTTGTACTCAGTCATTTGCTAATGGATGCACACTCCTAAAATGTGTGGTTTACATACAAAGACAGACATTAGCGCATAGAAAACAATATACGTCAAAGCATCTAAAATTCTAAATGCCCCAAAAGGAATAAAAGAAGGAGATGTAACCTTATCTTTCCTGTTATCCCACCATTCAAGAGGATTAGCAAAGAATGCTTGCCACAGTGCTTCAGTTGAACGGGAGGAGGAACTCATGTAATCTCCCTTCTTATTCTCAGTTGAACCAGAGGTAGAATCAGTACCAACATACTCTCCATGCTTTCCACCTTTAATTCACAACCAAGTGTCACCCATTACTATTTTCCAATATATTTTTCTTACATCAATATACAGCTACCTGGCACGCAGTTATGTGTATCTAGAGCCTCTTAAGAGTTGAGACCAGGCTATATACATACAGGAAAGATGTAATTTTGAACCAAGAATGCCCAATTAAACAAATCCATAAAACTTGATGCAATTCAGTGTGCAAATGTCTGACAATCAAGCGAGAAAGAGTACTCATCTTGTGTTGCAATTTTTGGCATTATAATCCAGGATAAATTTGGCTACATAAGATAACTTCTCACAGCCTTCTCTGCAATCTTTCAGAAGTAACTTGCTATATTCTAAAAGGTGCACAGGATATAATACTTTAAATAGAGACCTTAAATAGAGGGGCCTATAACACGTGATTTCGAAGACTACAGAACAATATCCAAGCTCCAGAATGACTAGGCATTGAACATTGACAGTTTGAAGGAAATGTGAGCACTACAAAATGTAAACAATTACACTACTGCCATCTACTGAAAGTAAATATCGCGAACAGGCAAATAAATAACATAAGACAGAAGTATGAACATTGAGAAGAGAAGCAGTAGCTTTACGATACAAAATGAAGATATAAGCAAGCCAGCTCGAGTTAAATCCATACCGTCCTGGCTTGACTCTGAATATAACCGCACAGGTTGGAAGGACTCAATGAAGTTGAACTGTTGAACGACAACCTGCAAAATATACAGGTACTGTTCAAAACCACGAGAAGGAGCCGTGATGGCAACAGCATGAAAAGAAAATATGTTAAGTCAAATACAAATTATTTGCAGAGATGTACCTTGTAGTAAACCTGCCTCTTCTCAGGCCCCTCATCAACAGTATCTGATACAAGCCGTCCAGAAACAAATATTCGGTCTCCCTGTTTTACATGCTCAGAGGCCATAATAGCCAAGTCATCCCAAAATGCAAGAGTTACCCTACAACCACCACCCATTAAACACTTATGATTAATACTCATAATAATTCATATTAAGAATGTAATGGACAATTATGTAAAGTTGTAAACCATTATTTAACATGTGACAAACAGATGGTACAGCATGACTTGAATAGCAACAAAGAGGTACAGTTCCAAATTATCCTTAAGTGATGCAACAAACTTTAGTTTTGGGTTAGCAAACTTATTGGTCAAAGGGAAAGAATTATTGCATCATGCAAATCGGAGTTTCAGACTTAACTAATCTGTTAATCATGCTGTTGACTTCATGCTTAATCTGTACCATGCTCTTGGTTTCATGCTTAACCTGTAAATGATGCTTGCAGAAGATGTCCACAACACGTTTGTTGATAACATATTTCTGAATCTTGTCAAGTGGTACATAACTCTTATAGCTACTCCCTCCATCCCATAATATAAGAGCGTTTTTGACACTGCACTAGTGTAAAAAACACTCTTATATTATGGGATGGAAGGAGTAGCTAACAACCCCAAGGAAGAAGCATACTAAAACTTTTCCTGCCCCAACTAAAGTCCCTTTAAACTGAGGCATCAATCTACGGCAAGGAACCGTACATAGCGCACGTTTGTTCTATTAGTAATTTGTAACATCTCCATATTTACATCAACAGAAAATTGATGGCCTATTGATTGATGGTGCAAAAAAACGGGCAAATTGCTCCCCTCTGCATAGTGCCGAACATTTGGCGGCATCCACGAACTACCATGCTAGTTACACTACTAAACACGGCCAAACACGTTAACGGCATCCACGCGAGCTGTAATCATGAGCCAGCACAGCTCAGGCTCAGCCAATGCGAAATTACTTACCATGTGGTCTCGGTGGCCGACTTCCAGACGGCAATGCGCCCCCGCGCGACGGAGGCGCCGCTGGGGAGCTGGCGCAGCTCGATGTCGGTGCCCACCGTCCCTATAAGCCGCACCGAGTTGCAGAGCTCCCTGCTCCACGGGATCTCGTCCGGGCGCTGCGTCGTCGGAGCCGCCTGCTGCGGCGCGGCGGCATCGCCGTAGCCGGCCGAGCAGCGGAGGCGGCCGCTCCGCGAGAGCAGCGGCAGCAGGCGGAGATGGGAGGAGCTGAGGAGGGTACGGCGGCGGCGGCCGGGGCCCGAGCTCAAGGTAGGGTTTAGGGTTTTGAGCGGGGAGGCGACGGCGAGGAGAGCCATGGCGATAATTTCGGGATTTTGCCTTCCTTTCCACTCTCGAGAGTGGCCTCGCGAGTTTATTGCCCGGGGGAGGAAAGTGTGGCTTCTTCTTTCTCTGCTGCCTGGGCCCAAAACGTGTGGCTATAGTGGCTGACAATGCGGGCCCACCCGCCAGTGTCTCGACTATAACCCTTGCACATCCTCACTACTACAAATCAAACTAAGCTGGCAATGTCAGGCACAATTCTTCACTGCTCTATTCCAAACTGATGTACATAATTTTCAACAGGAAAAACAGCAGACATGTACACAAGTAACCTCATACATTGATGTACACAAGTAACCTCATACATTAGCAACATGGTATTTCAGAGGGGACGCATTTTCGCCGGTTACAAATAATACTGCTGCATGGCCTGCAAGAACAACAAAAACAGGGAGCAATGTGCTAGAACATCACGGTGTTTTTACATACACAACTTTACTCTTCTAGTTCACGATCGTTGGCCCGGTCCTCATGTGCTCTCTTTCCTACTCGATGCCTCTAGCTCCCTTTTCTCTTCATCGTCGCTGCTGCTGACCGCCGTGGGGGTTGTGGGTGGAGGCTGGTCGCCGCCTTCCTCGGGTTCTTTCTTCAGTTCTGTTTCAAATTCCTTGGCTGCCTGAGAGTGGATTTAGATAGAGAGACAGGTAAGGAAACAAGTCATAAACTGGGACTGAATAGTCTACCTACAGAGAAGAGTAACAGTAATATGACTTGATAGGACAAAACAAACTAGAGCAGCGTTCCTCAGAATATACAAACAAGTGCTAGGTCTCATGTATATAGCCATATTAGTCAAGAACACTGATGTCATCCTTAAGAGTTGGCAGTGCTCATTTTCAGACATGTAGAGGCAGCGAAGGAGGAGTATGCAAGCACATGTTTTTGACTGTGAATCCAGGACTGTGTGATTTGGGTATTTGATCAAAATGCATATCAGAACATATCACTGGTGCAGGAGGAAATCAGGTTGAGCCATGTATTTAGCATAGCTCTCTATTTCCCTCCAATACTTATCCCACCAAATTCCCATTGCTTCACGGGCAAATCAAAAGCACACTAGAGCACATTGACCACAGATCCAAGACTCACACTCATGCTGACCCATGCATCAGCAAGTGCAAGTACAGAAGGAATGGGACAACCACACACATTTCGACTAGATAACATAACACAACATTGCAAAGCAGACAACAGCATGAAACACAGACCAAGATCATCTACCAAGGCATATATGTATATGTACCCGCCGAATGAATTCCTTGATGATTTAATCTAATAACTGCAAACCGCGCAGGCTAGCTCAAGTTTGTCTGGTTGTAAATCAAAATGGCCACAGTGATCGAGCTTAAAGCTTCAAATATTCCCAAACTATCCCGTTTTCATCGATAAGTTTCTCACATCAACCCAAATATTCCCTGATTGACACAATTATGTGCAATGAAAATGCTAGAGATGCGAGCACTGGGGCCCCACTCCTTAGTTCAGTTCATGTTAAAATGATTGAAATGACAGAACACATGCATGCAGTAGTGTTCATGCTGATCAGATAGCAGCATATAAAAATTACCAAAATCATCTACTTCAGCCAATTGGCACAAAGCATGTCCCATAGTCCCATAGTGTTAAAGCTCAAATGCTTCAGCGATTTGACTACCTGAATTAGGCATCTAGAAATCGAGTACTGATTTTAAGTTGCCCCTCTTTGTGACTTTGTTATACTCGACTGCCACGATTTCATAAGAAAAATAATTTCGCTGTTTTACAGACGGATACACGCTATCTTTACTAATTTAGGGTCCAATTCCGTACCTGCTGGAAGCTCTTGACGGTCTTGCCGACGCTGCGGCCGATCTCGGGGAGCTGCTTGGGCCCGAACAGCAGCGCGGCGACGCCGGCGATGACGACCATCTCCGGCACGCCGAGCCCGAACAGGCACTTGCACCCGAGCGCGCCGCCCCCCGCGCCCGTCCGCCTGGGCCGCGCGGCCACCGCCACGGAAGCCGCCGCCACGGCGAGCCCGCTGCCCGAGGCGAAGGAGGACGCCCTCGAGGAGAGCCAGGCGGCGGCGAGGCGCGCTCGGTACGCCGTACTCCTCGCCGGCGGTGGCGCTCGGGAGGAGGAGTAGGTCGCGACTGGAGCAATCACCATGGCTGCCGCTCGCTCGCCGGAGTGATAGGAAATGGGAGGAGTCGCGGAGATTTTTCTGATGGGATAGCGTTCTGTGGTTTCTGCGTCAGCACGTGCTTCTCTCGTGTGCTCTCGACGGCTGTTTTATGCACATGGGCCGTCATATGGTCCGGCCCATATGATTGGGCCACTGACAATAGGCTATAATTGTTTTGTGCGAGCAGGCGAGAAATAAACATCACTGATGTCTCAAAAAACAAAACATCACTGATTCTCTGCTGCAAAAAGAAGAACATCACTGATCTTCTGGGTTTCGGTCCAATGGCTATCTCTGATCAGATGCCCAACATTGGTGCAATTGTTCTTTCCCCTAAAACAAATGCTGCAACTGTTCTTCTGTGATTGTGATGACTACAGCGTCCTGCAGTTTTTTCTTTTAAGTAAGGTGCTCGCAAAAAAAGTTGCCCGTGCGGAATAGGGTATTTTGGAGGACGAGCTCCATGGCACTTGTTTTTTTTTGAAAAAAATTGAATATCATATTTTTAAGATTCAGAAAATCTGAAAAAATCACACGCGTTTATATGCAACTGTTCTTCTGTGATTGTGATGACTACAGCGTCTTGCAGTTTTTTCTTTTAAGTAAGGTGCTCGCAGAAAAGTTGCCCATGCGGAGTAGGGTATTTTGGAGGACGAGCTCCATGGTACTTGTTTTTTTTTTTGAAAAATTGAATATCATATTTTTAAGATTCAGAAAATCTGAAAAACTCACATGTGTTTATACTAATCTGTTTTACATGTGTGTACAGTACATTGTGGTGAGAGCTACACAAAAGACAAAAATCATGATTTTCTCCTTTTTGTGTATCTGTCACCATAATGTGTTTCATCTTCAAATTATACACGCATGTACTATACATCCATATGAACGCGTGTGATATTTTAGATTTTTTTGAAACTTCAAATAAGATTTTCAACGGTGGTGATGATCCAACGGTCTTGAAGAGCTCCGACCAGTCTTGGTGGCATTGTTGAACTATCTTTTCAGCTCGGCCACCTCGTTTTGATGCTTATGTCTTCTGTGTGATATTTGTTGCGGGAGGCGGCGCTATCCACGGTTTGTTTTCTTGGTGCGTGCTTGACGTTTTGGAAACCTGACAACCTATCCAGTGTTCATGCGGGCTCTCGGCTGAGTGCTTCTGCCTTACCGGCAGTGCAATGCCCTTCGACCCTGGGCGACAGGGCAGAGGGCTTCTTCAGTGGTGTAGACATATGCCACTTTGACAACGTCTCGCCGACTAGGAGCAAATAAAGGTGAGATCTTTCTCCGATGGTCTCCTTGCCTTCTTGATATCGCCTTCCCACTCTGGTGTAGTTAGCAGGGTGAACAAGGCGTCGACATTGTAGCTATTTTGCTTCCTTGTTCGTTGTCTATTACTCCTTCCGTCCTATAATATAAGAGCGTTTTTTACACTAGTAGTTGTTTCCTCAACGCTATTGCTGTTTTTTTTATGTCTATATGATGTTAGTCGCTGCAATTCCTGATCGGTTGTTGGCTTTATATTAACACAAAGGCGGGTTCATCTCGAGCCTTCATTCAAAAGAAATACTCCATCCATTCATAAATATAAGATGTTTTAAAGAAATTCTGAATAGATGTATATATACATGTTTCAGTGTGTTTGTTCATCATTTTGGTCCGTATGCAGTCTCTGTTGAAACATCTAAAACATTTTATATTGGTGAACGGAACGAGTAATTGATCACGTGCAGACGTGCCAAACTGTTGTGGAATATATGCCGTCGTACGTGCTTATCATCGCCAGCAATCCTCTCCGTTTTCCTCTCCGCTGACGGTGGTAGTACTCATGACGATAGGCCTACCAAGAAAAATATGACAAGAACAGAAGATTATTTTGGCTTCTCTTTGCAATGTCAAACACCAACCTCAGTATGCATGCGCCTCTCCATTCGCTCATGCTGCAGCTGCTCCATCGCGCCTATTTTCTTCTCGTGGCCTTGTCGGCCAGCGCGCATACTCAAATGCAATACTACCAAGTTCTCCCTTTTCACCAGTTTAGACCGGAGAAGTTGCAGATTACAGTAGCTTCAGGGAATTAACTACTGTAGGAGATAAGCTGGCGTTGCAAGTTACTTATAGTTTTGTCACTAAGCTACTGTCAATTACCTTAATTCCATGATGCCCATGTCAAGGTCGCTCCTTTTTCGCCCGCTGGTATCTGACCCACGCACCCACTCGCTTTCGTCGACATCGATCAACTCCTAGGCTTCCTGAACCTGTTTTGACTTCTCATTCACTACTGCCCACTGACACCTGCAATAGGTTCACCATTGATGCTGATCACTTGACACAAATTAGGAGTTTCTGAAAGTAGAATGTGCGTGCAAATCACTTAACAGAAATTAGGAGTTTGGGAAACTAGAATGTGCGTGCTAATCACTTAACAATAAAAATCACCAATTATACTTCTAAACAGGATCATGCAAACCTTGGTGCAGTACTAGTCATCTGTATTGCATCAAAACCTTTAGTGTCCACTTCCAGTTCTGATATTCAGGCATTTCCATAGCGTATACGAGCCAGTTATTGGAATCGATTGCTTCTGTTTGACCACGACTTGCACTAGTCTACTTTTACCGAGATGCTTACTCGTCGATAGGTTCCAATCGTCCTGCCAACCTTTGTGCGTCATGAAAAGCGATTACGGGCATATTCCTCAGCAAGGCATATTCATTGGCGCTTCAAACGGACGGACGCGGATGACTCTTCCATATCTGGGCAATCATCAGGCCACCACTGAAGGACAGACATGAATGAACTGACATGGAA